AAAATGAGCCAGAAAATGACCCCACAGAATAAACCATATGCACAGATTAAGATTATATCCAGAAGCTAATGAGCAGTAGGAATTTCTGGATCCAGTACAGCTGGGTAGAGGAAACGTTTGGTGCAGCCGATGGAAATGATTTTCATAAATCATAAGGTCCATTAAATTATCTGTAATCTGGATCTAAATCTAAGTTTTGTTCCTTATGTTGTTGCTTGAAACGGCTTGAAGCTCTAAACAATTAGGGACATTTCAACCAAAATTATAAACAATAATACCATTTAAGTGCATTTGTTTAACTGTCAGGTCTAAAGCAAAGTTAAAACCACCCAAATGTGTGTTTTTTTTAATAAAATAAAATTAACTTAACCAAAAGTTTTAAACTAAAAGCAAAGATAATCCAGAATTTCTTTAAAAAAAAATCCCTCAAAATTAAAATTTATGTCATAAATTTTATTTATGAAGTACAATTTCTTCACCTTTAAGAATAAAACTGCAACAACAGAGTAGATCCTTAAGCAAATCTTCAGATAATAAAGGCTGGAAGAGTGTGAATCCTCTGGAACTGATATTTAAGATGTATGGAGATGTTTTTCCTGCCTGGTTCCTGGCAGCTCTCTGGACCTTGATTTCTCTCTACCTACCAAATAAAAGAAGATGGGGGTGCTCAGTGGAGGGATCTTTCTGCATGGAGTTTGCATGTTCTCTCTGTGCATGCGTGGGTTCTCTCCGGGTACCCCGGCTTCCTCCCACAGTCCTAAAACATGACTGTTCGGTTAACTGGCTTCTCTAAATTTTCCTTAGGTGTGAGTGTGTGAGTGAATGGTTGTCTTGTTTGTCTCTGTGTTGCCCTGAGATGGACTGGCGACCTGTCCAGGGTGAACCCCGCCTCTCACCGTTAGACAGCTCGCTTGGCATAAGTGTGACAGAAGAGGATGGATGGATGGATGGATGGATGGATGTTGATTTCCAAGCTTTTTAGAATAGCCCAACAAAGCTTTGTTATGGCTTAGAAAACATGCAAATTGAACTGGAAGAACAGGTCTGTTGAAGTCGTTGTTAGCCACCCGATACTGGCCCATGCCTCTGAAAAGGGGAGTCGTTAGGGTCATTGCTGGCTCGGCTAAACAGGCGAGATGTCTTGGTCCCCTGCGTGGAGATGAGGATTAAGATGATAGCAGGAAGGAATCAACTCTATTGCTGAGTTGTGGGTTTTTGAGAGCTGGAACCTGATTCCACCCCCTGAGTCAACCAACCTTAAAGAGACAGAGTGGACTCAGGTTTCAGCTTTAAAAAATGTACAACGCAGCGTTAGAGTTGGTGCCTTCCTGCTATCATTTCAATCCTCATTGCTGTGCAGGTGACCAAGACATCCCGCCTGTTTAGCCAGGCTAACAAAGCACTCAACAACTCCCCATTCCTCAAGGGAAGACCTGTTCTTTTGGTTCAATTTCAATGTTTTCTAAGCCATAACAAGGCCGTGTTAGGCAACTCTATAAGGCTTGGAACTCAACACTAATTCTGACAGTTGAACCGAAAAAGCTTCCTGGATGGGAAGCGAAACATATTCAAACTTGGAAATAAAAGTCCAGTGTTTTGTTTCTTTTACTTTTTTGGAATATGCTCTCTTCGTCCTCTGACATGGGAATTGGCTCGAAGGTCGTCTGCCTGGATGTGTGTTTCCTGGACGGCGCAGCCTTTTACAGTTGCCTTTCCTATCTCTGCTTCTTTCTGCATCTCTGCTTCTGTCTCCTTGAACCCCAGTCGGCCTCAGCAGATGGCCGCTCACAATGAGCCTGGTTCTGCTGGAGGTTTCTTCCTGTTAAAAGGGAGTTTTTCCTCTCCACTGTCGCTACAAGCATGCTTAGAGTGAGGGATTGCATCCAAGTCAATGAGTCGATGCAATCAACTGGTTTTCCTTTGATAGAAAACTTTGAATCAATTTGACTGTATGATCTGGTGAACTGTGTTAGGATAACTATTATAACTAAAGTGCCTTGAGATGACATATGTTGTGAATTGGACGCTATATAAATAAACTGAATTGAATTGAAACTGAAATGAATTCATTAAACATAAAGAGATAAGACTTATTTGAATTTGTATCATTTTCCTTTGATAAAAAAAATTCCCATAACAAGGAGCAGGCTCCTGGTTGGCTTTTTAGAGGCCTTTGAGACTCACAGAAAGGAGGAGATAAATTATTAATATCACACATCCACCTCGTCCTCCAAAACAAGCACCCAGGACCACAACTCCTCCAGGCGAGGCAGAGGCTGAGCAGATGCAGATGAGGAAAGAGGAGATAAGGAGGCTTGCATTTATTTAATAAAAGCTTGAGTGAAGCACTGCTTATCCTCCTGCAGAAGTGTGTTGCAGATATTTTTGATTTATGGCCAATATTGAAGCGTGGGCTGAGCTGTTATTCCACACCACACCACCTCTAGATACAGCCGAGGCGGTGAGGAATGCACTGGAAAAATGATTTAGAAATAAGTAAAGATTTCTTAAATTAAGTGTTGGGCTGTTTATACTTCTGCAATCGCACACATCAAATGTCACTTGCATCTGGCCGTGAACCAGTTTTGCTGGTATGCTTCTGCACCATCGGTCTGGAATTTCTAGGGACGCACAGCAGTTTCCTGCCAAATAGCAAGGGAAAGCCTATTGGAGGACTTGCAAGAACTGCGGCGGATCGTCACGAGAACTTTGGCGACGGGAGTTTTTATCTTCCAAA